TACAGACTATCAATAAAAATGAATCCACAGTACATTTGCATTTTGGGTCAAAATGACACAAAATCATTACTTCTTATTATCTCAATTTAGAAGATACATGTATCCTCAAGAAAAATCTTACAGTCCATTCATCCATGAAAATTCCTGTTTCTTGGGGAGGAGCATCTTTGTGTCTTTTGAATTCATCTTTGACATACTGGTCTCCCATAGCTTTCATCTGCAGGGGTAGTCCTCTGTGTATCCTAAGGATTGCTTTGTAAAGTGCCCTAACCCTTGAAACATGACTAATTGTAGGTGCTGACATTCTTCATTTTCTGTTCAGACAAACTCTGTAAATAGTAAAAGTTAACTATATATATGTATAACTTAATAAACTTTCTACCTTCTGAAGGCAATCTAACAAAGATCCTAAAGCTTGTATAAATAATGTGAAAAGTTATTGAGGTATGTTTAGGGGCCTATTTGACCCTGTAACAACAACAAAGAAATCTGTAAGAGACCACTATTGGTCACAATTCTAAAATGTCAGAATTAAAACTTATAGTAATTGTAAATATTAGATACAACATGATGACAAGTATGTGTCATCATTAAAATTGTTTCATAAGGGAAAATTACCAGATCTCGGAAAATTTTTGCAATCTGGCATAGAGCACTAGTGTCGCCAAAAATATTTTTTATGATAATATATAATACAATTTTTGTGTGAACTTCTTTTGATAAGGGGGTACTGTTGTATATTATTTCTTTTTATGTGTGAATCAAGTAGTAAGTAGTCATATTTTGTTTATTGCTGCTTAAAAGCTTTTCAATTCCCTGCCTTTAAGCATGAAACATGCAGTAACTTTACAAATGAAATAAAAATATTTGTTTGAAGGAAAATGCAGTATTCTGTATTTACCCAACATGACAGTTATTGCATAAATGCAAGGTATTGGGGACTGTTGTCCAAATAATCATGTCTATGTAATGTAAGGCTATTTTTATTTCTTTGCTGTGACACTTTCTACTTAAATTGGGTCAATACATTTTATACATCATTGTCGTCTCAAATGGACATGATGGAATTGTAACATATTTTATCTTTTGAATATTTTTGGAAATTTTTTGCAACAGAAAAGATAAGAATTTGTAAATATGCAAATATTTTTTGCCATCAGTGACATAGTTGAGAGCAAAATTCTCCTCAGATCCAGCAGAGACATATACATAGTTAATATATATGTCTCTGGATCCAGTAAAAAAAAAATGGCTTCAGCATTATATTGTTGTAGAAAGGCATCACAGCTACAAAAAATAAAAAATATCCATACAAGACGTCTAGTTATTTGAACTAAGGGGACTGGTACTCAACTAGTAGTGATCCATTATTTGCAATAGTCAAAAACTGATGATTGTCACTATTTTTAACATCCAACTTAAAACTTTTGTTGTTGTCAAAAAAGCAACAGAAGGTGATGGCAATCTGATGGGCAGAAACTTTAACAGTTTAACTAGTTTCACATCAGTAAAAAGATTTATCAAACATTGTTTACCGAATTTCCCTGTTATTGGCTACCAAAGTCAACGAAATTATGTAAAAAACAAAGGGTACTACATACAGAGGGGAGAGTAACGTACTGTTCATAATCTTTTTATAATTATTATCTGTAGACGAATTTCTTCCATTGAAGGCACACCTCCTTTTAAACGGAAGAATTTAAATGTCAATCCATTGTATCAATATATCATAGTAGTAATTTCAACTGATATAGTGTGTTGAGACATGGGAATGGTATATTTACTGTAAAACTTTAGGTGTACCAGTAGAAAAGGAGATGTGGTATGATTGCCAACTGATGAGACAACCAGTATCCACCAAAGTTGAAATGAAATTGATGTAAACAATTATAGGCAACCGTACAGCCTTCAACAATGAGGAAAAACTATTGCGTATAATCGACTGTAAAAGGCCCCGACGTGAAAAATGTGAAAAAAATCAATTGAGAAAACTAAAGGTCTAGTTTACAATAAAACAATTTACGAAAAACAAATATGACAGACATGACCAATGACAACCACTGAACTACAGACGCCTGACTTGGGTCAGGCACATAAAGAATGTGTGTGGGTTAAACATTTTTGTGAGCGCTCAACCCTCCCCTAACCTGGGACAGTGGTGTAACAACATACCAAAAGAAACGTTGAAACTGTAAAATTCGGTTGCAATTGGCTTAACTCAAAAGATTGGTACGAGGCACTAAAACAACTAACATAAAAACAATAGACACATAGCACCGAAATAAAAGTACTACCAGTAACTGAAATCAATTTCAAAGCCAGTTACATGTGTCACAACAAATAAATAAATCATGTTCTCTCAGATTAAAGTATCAATCCGTGCACATCCAACGGATTTAGTTTTAATACGTCTTAAAACAGCCCGAGAAATGCAGGACCTTGTGCAATACCAAAATAAAACTAACAGTATCGTCAGGATGTAGAGTCATGAGTTCTCAAAATAATATTTAAAGATTTTACAACTTTGCTAGATTGATAACCTTTAAGAATTCGTTTATTAAAAAAAACAATTAGAATTCATTTTCATGGATCGTATCTGAGTTTCCGGGTTTATAAACAATATCGCCGTGAAAATTAGGATGTGATATCCCGTATTTAATCAGAGCTCTACAGGTACAGCCAAACTTCCTAACCAAATCTGTATATCAATGAAAGAAATTGGTAAAGGTTCTAATCACTGAATTTGTTGTAACTAAATTCCTATCTTGATAATTCATCAGTTATACATAGGTTATGGTCATCGAAATATAAAACACAACTACAGACACGGGCACAGATAACTGGTTATGAAATATGCACACTGCAGGACAAAACCGTCTTAAAAGGGTAAATAAACAATCGGGAATGAAAAAAATGGCTATTTTGTCATAAAAATTAATAGATATAAGAAGATGTGGTATGAGTGCCAATGAGACAACTCTCCATCCAAGTCAAAATTTATAAAAGTAAACCATTATAGGTCACAGTACGGTCTTCAACACGGAGCCTTGGCTCACACCGAACAGTAAGCTATAAAGGGCCCCAAAAAATTACTAGTGTAAAACCATTCAAACGGGAAAACCAACGGTCTAATCTATATAAAAAACGAGAGACGAGAAACACTTATGAACCACATCAACAAACGACAACTACTGAAAATCAGATTCCTGACTTAGGACAGGTGCAAACAAATGCAGCGGGTTTACACGTTTTAATGGTACCAAACCTTCACCCTTTTTCTGAAACAATAGTGTAACATCACAACATAGAAAGACACACTATAAAATATCAACTGAAATAGCTTAACTCAATCAAAGGACACATTAACGCCATTGAACATACACTGAACAAATAAATTTGACCTATGACACAATGTAAATACAAAATAAATAAACTAAGGGAAGAATAATAAAAGTAACATGTTATATCGGTAAGAAAAACAATATGCTCGAACAAAAATACCATCCATTTGCAATAACTTTAAACACAGGTAAATGAAAATAATTTTGTTGTTAGGTATACCTGTACAGTACCAATAGAGAAAGGAAATATTTTTACAAAATAAATAATTTTGAATACAAAATAAATAAACTAAGGGAAGAATAATAAAAGTAACATGTTATATCGGTAAGAAATGTTAAACAATTAAAGAAAAACAATATGCTCGAACAAAAATACCATCCATTTGCAATAACTTTAAACACATGTAAATGAAAATAATTTTGTTGTTAGGTATACGTGTACAGTACCAATAGAGAAAGGAAATATTATTACAAAATAAATAATTTTGATGTTCATAGTACGAAGTGAAAATTTATAGTTATACCAAACACTTATCAAAGCTGGTATATAGACCAGATATAACCCTGAATAACATTAAATAACAAAAAAGCAATACAATTAGTATCAACAGGTCAAATAAACAAGAAAGTACGATTTGAGAGTACTCGCAGTTACTGACAGCTAGTTAAAAGCCAAAACAATTAATAATAAAAAATCATGCATCAGAGACTATAAAATCAACTAAAACACATCCCAGGGATTTAGTATTTTAACGTCATGGACAGTCAAAGAAGACATGACTAGTGCAATGCCAAAAATAAATGTATCGACAGACAGTAGGATAGTTAGGAGTTTAACCTCTTTATAGATCTAAACGAACGTGGGTGTTAATTTGCTGATGACAAAATCGATATTAGTGCCAATGTAAACTATATTCAAAGATCTAATTACAACATTGGTAAGATAACCTTTACTAATAAGCCTGTTTAAAGGTTCGATGAGTTTACACGGATCACATAGTGATTTCCGCGCTTTAAGTACATGTTTGTGAGCGCTTAACCATCCGACTAACCGGGGCAGTTGGTGTAACAATACAAAATAAGAACAAACTGTAAAAATCAGTGGGTTTTGCTCAGATTGGAACGAAGCACAAAAAGAAACTAACATATAAAGCCAATATGCTGGATCCGCACCTGTGTTGTAATCATGTATTTTATTTATCATGTTTATTACATAGGCACTTGGGGACAGGAAATATTTTTAGCCTTCCCCTTTTCTCTCCAAAATCCGTTATTTTTTTTCTTTTTTTTTCTATCAATTTCTCTAGTATATAATATATAGCAGTGACCGCTGTGGATAGTCAACTTGGAATTGATAGTATATAGCAAATACAAATTATTTCTAGTATTCATCTCACACAGAAAAACGCGAAAATAATTGAAATTAATAGAAAACAAAAAAAATAATGGATTTTGGAAAAAAAAGATAGATTATTTCTATTTCTATTGAGTTTTGGACATAATATATTAACCAGTTTGTCAAATAATTTTTACAGCAATGATCATCGCCGGTATTTATTTTAACACGCACTACGACCATTCCAACAACACATTCAGCACTTTGACGTTTTCCACTTTAGTTTGTATCACGTGATAGATCACGTTTATGCCCACGTTCCAAATTGAAAATATTACGTAACTTCAGTACATACGAAGGGAAGTTGTCACGCAGGTTATTACGTTTTTGATATTAGATTACGCAACTGGGACAGAGAAACCGAGTAAGTATACATAATAATACTGGGCGCTTATCGACGAATTTTGTAAATAGCAAACTCTCAAACACTATTTCAGGTTTGAATCATTGATGTAAACAAGGATTTGTATAGTCCTCGATGTAAATAGCGATATTTTACAATATTTATACTATTTTAAATTAGTCCCAGTAAATTATATACACACTGAAATTTTAAAATTACACATTGAAATCCTTGTTGAAATTAAGAAAAATGTACACCGAAATTTCAAAGTTACACATTGAAATTTAAAAAACAACATTAAACGGTCATAAACCTTTATACAGTTGATATTTTAGTCATCATGGTCATAGTGCCTTAGGCTGTTAGGGAGAAACATGTCACCTTTCACACAAATTCCTGAATTTTTAATCTCGTAAATTATTAAATAACAGATTTCTGATGTATCCATTGGTCCCAGTTGATTTTGGACAAATAGCCATAAATTAGGATAATAATTATTTGTTACCCTGTTATAATACATGATTATACAACTACATGTACAAAATGTAGGTGAAATCCAATAACACCCCACCAGTATGATGGCCATCAATATATGTGTAATAAATCAAATAAAGATCCTTTATATAATATTTTAAAAAATTGCACAAACGTTTATAGCTATAATAGAATAAAATTTTATATCAGTATTGTGATCTCCAAGTTCAGGTGGTTCAACATGTTCAATGTATCTGCAGTACTTTGCTAACAAATCATTTAGTTGAATCAAAACTGTACTAAAAAAATTTTAAAAGGAATTATATATATATATATATATTTTTAAATCTATGGAAAAATCAACCAAACAAACTCTTCCTTCAATATTTTTTTTTTATTTTCCAATGTGCCTTATATTTTGAATTCAATATTTCTTGCTTAATTGTTCATAGTATCCTGATTTAAAAAAATTCTGAAAATGAAAAGAAAAAAAGAAGAAAGAAATAATGTCCATACATCATATACGCATGTGTGCAAAAAATAGTTTCTAAAATAATGAGAGCACACACTACAACCTACCTGCATAATTTGAAACAAGTTGCTTTCTTTAAAAAAAATAGAAAAGCAATACGTGAACCTAAGACCGTTGACTGCCGGGTCACAAAAAGATTGTTGTCGAATTTGTGTTTGCTTTTGAGTTGAAATAATTGACTGTGATTAGACATGTTAGAAGAAGTCAGTTGAAAGTGTATATTTACATCTACTATTTGAATATACATTTTAAAGCTATACTATTTTATTTAGTACTTGGGAATGTACATAATTTCCCCGATGATAACCCTTTTGCAAATCCCAATTTCTTCAAACTGGATGACTTAGGCAAATTGCACAAACTAATCGCGATATAAATTTATGCACTCAGTTTGCTTTATAATCTGGAATTCTGCATGCATTTATTTTATCTATCATATCTTAATATTTTGCTCCCTGCATGGACCTTCATGTTCTCAACTCGTTATTGAAGCTGTCTGTACTCATGGTAGATGTTAATGGTATAGATAAATCTAAAGTCCAATTTCCATGTGCAATGAAACCTGTGGCATGCAACTGATTGGGACATCTTATAAAGAGACTTTTTTTTGGTCTTATAAAACATCTCAAATTTTAAGGATTTCCTGATTTTACTTAAATCAATTCAAATATTCTACAGGGAAACTTGGTTTTGCCGAAGAATATCTTAATTCAGAAATTTTATGAATACCTGTACATACCCTCAAAATAACCAATTTATTTAAAAAGGTATGTAGATATAAAAAGATACCAGAATCAAAATGATGTTCGCCAGACGCCAGTCTACAAAAAAGCATCAGTGACACGCGAATGAAAAAAGTTAAAAGGCCAAATAAATTACAAAGTTAAGGAATCTATTCCTTGGGTAGAAAATCCTTAGCTTTTCGAAAAGGTCAAAGTTTATTATAGGACAGTGACTCAAAAAAGAAACAAAATAGAAACAGCTAGAGGTCAGAATACCGTAAGTAATGATGACCGTGCATGAAAGTCACATGTCAATCTCTTACAGCCGTGTCCTAAATTTAGACAAGAAAAATGAAAATGCGCAATCACGAGTGAAATTAGTATTATTGGAATTTTTGAGAACGCAAACCGATAGTGTGCGTTTGAAATGTGATCTATAATGTGAATGAATCAAGACATGTAGGATAGTTGGGCAACACAGTGAAAACAATTTTCAAAACCGTACCATAGTACAAATATGTAGATGTTATAAGGTTAAACTATTAAAACAAACAAAACAAAAATAGAATTGAATAATAAACATACGTTCCTGTTAGTTATTTTTTTCTGAAATTTTTAATATATATACATGTAGTATCAATAAACACAAACGTCAAGTATTTACGGACGGACATTTTAAAATCAAATGAATCTATTTTTAAATTCTACCATTCCACTATATGAATAGATTACTATACAAAATATAAGCAAAGACTTATAAATCCATACTAAAACAGTACAAAAAAATAGTACTTAATTAAATTTGTTATGATTATTGTAAATTATTATTACGTTTTTTTGTGAGCTGCAAGGATTTAAAATCTTTGTGAATTGAAAACACACAAGTATTTTTATTCACGACCATTTATAATTTAAATATTTAATTTATTTATCTTACTTTCCGTTTTATGGATATATTACAATACAAAAAAATAAATAACAATTACTTATAAAACCTTACTAAAACGGTGGGAAATAATTAACGTAGAAATATAATTATTATTGTTTATCAACATTTTTTTTTGTATAATGCAAGCCAAGTTTTATTACAGGAAAGGGATTATAAACAAAAACAAGTGATCACAAGTGCAAAATGGCGATTAAGAAATCCGATTTCAAACATTGAGTCAAAGAAATGACTGAAATTACTTCTGTAAAAAAATAAGATTTGTCCTAAATCCCAATTACTCGTTTACGACAAATAGTTTCATCTTAGGACATGACTGGCAAATATGACCGTTTCCGGACCCTTGATGCAAGGATTTATTCAGATTTAATTATTATGCATGTTTCATTTACAAATGAATATTTAAAAATACCAAAGCAGAGTATCTTTTCATATAAATACTTATTTCTTAATTGCAACTCTGAAAATATTCTGACTTCAATTTAATATTTAGTTTCTACAGAAACATAAATACAGTATATATTTTGTATAAGATAAGATATTTTATTTCCAATTATGGGCCCCAAAGGGCATAAACATTACAACATCAATAATTTTTCATAATACAATACAAACAATGAGATAAAAAAAAAAAAGATTAATGAGAACTATTTAAGTTCTTGAAGAATACGTAGATAAAGAATCTATAGTATGTTTTTTTTTAATACTAATGCATTTTAATGCAAGTGTGGTTGATATAGATAACAAACAAGCAGCCCAAAAAGAAAAAAAAGAAAAATAGATATCCATATATGTATAGTACACAATAAGTTGGATCAATTAAACATATAATAATTAGCCAAAAAGAAAGTAGAAATTAAGCATGTCCATGACTCGTCCTGTGTATATATTTCTTTGATTTCTATTGAATTAATTAAAAAATTGAATACTTTTGATAATAATATTATCTTTCTGTTTTCCGTTCTAATATACACATTTAAACCAGAATGTTCTCTCCTTAGTCTATGATGAAAATACACGCGTGGTTAAATCTTCAGACATAATTAGTTTACATGTTATCATGACAATGCACAACATACCACGTTATAATTGACCTAGATACACACAGTGTACAGGGGTCGTTTTAAAACAAATATAATTGCGTTGTCATAATACTTGTTTAGAAACTTTCACATCAAAGCGCTTATAAACATTCACATTATTAAAAACACATATGTTTTGTGAAAAGGCAAAAAGGTTCTTATATTTAAACGATTTATTGACTGCAACCTAGCCTTATTGTTTACTTTCCAATTAACTTTGATGGTGTAATGTCACGTGGTAGCCTAGCCATAGAGTTAACTACCTGTATAAATGATTGAAAACTTTCGAGACGTTCCAAGAATTTTATTCCGACTTCTGGCCGAGAGATATCGAGTGGCCCATAGACACATCCAAAACTCGCCAATATATAAGCTTGAATGGGGTTCACGCAAAAAACAGAAACAATAACACACTGCTGTTTACTGTATACTACTGTATACACATGGTATACTTAAAGAACATGTTAAGACTAAGAGGTCGGTAATGTCAGCATTATACTTTCTGGTCTGTGGGTCCATTAGTTTGTCCATCGATCTGTTTCAGGCTAAATCTTGGGGTTTAAGCTTGGTAAAAATTTTGTTATGATTGTATTAACATACATTTCTAATTATTAGTTTATATATATATACATATGACAACTAAAATGTATATTTACAAAGAATGGTCATCATTTATTTTTAGTGAACTTTGTATGATTTGACAATTTAAATCACACAACATATACAAAAGACACAGTATTTGATTTTTATAATTGACTCCTCCATGCAATCAACAGTGAAAAAATTTCAATTTTGATGATAAGAAATTTGAAACTGGTACTATAAATCGTAGACATGGTTTGGTCATTATTTTTCTCGATTTTTAAGCATGGATTTTGTACTGATGTTAAACTTGCCAAAGGACAAGAAGTGCACCCCTTCTAATCAATATGATAACAGATTGATTTGTACAAACTAATGGAGAGGAAGATATTTTGTGCATTTCAAAATGCTTGCAAAACAAGCAAAATAACCTGACATGAAAATGTCCACATTTGCAGTAGTTAGCTGTGTACATGTAACTACATCTTGTACATCTCTTAAGTTTGTTTTAATCAATTTATCACTTAAATACAACATTAAAATAATCATTTTATTATTCATATCCCATAATTGCAAATGTGGTACATTGCATCTTGTCTGTACATGTATCCTTTTTCACTAATATGACCTTGGGTAGATAAAAGACCCAATATTTTCTTTTTTTACCATTGAATATTATCTGATTTGTAGAAAAATGTCGGGCCACAGTTTAAGCAAGCTGTTGACTATAGGCTGTATGGTTTTTGTGTGGGCTGTGATGATTGTTGTAAATGCTTTAGCAACAGTAAAAGTTGGTAGAGACATAGGTAAGATTTTACATTTAGTTAAGTTATGTACATTTACCCATAAATGAAGGTAATATCTTCTAATCAGAAGCTCAAATTTTGATTTTGACACCTACTGTACTATACTGGCATAACTAGTACTGGTGACACTTTTAACATGTATCTTTTCTAGTAAATCATGTAACAGAAATCTGAGTGGAAAATAAACATGGAAAAGTATAATTGAATTTAAAACGAACCAAGGTTATGTTAGTATGTACATGTATGCTCTTCTTTGAACTTTGGACAAGAAGGAAATAACAAGTTGAATTCTTTCTTTTGTGGAAATACTAACAAAATGCTGAAAACTATATATCCAAATATTTTTCTAATTTCAAAATGATGGCTCATCTATACCATGTATACCATAAGCTAAATGTATATATGCCATATAAAATATAGAGAAAACTATCCACCAACATGACCAAAGTCCAAATGACGTGGATGGAAGCAGCTATTAGTTGGTCATTGTTAAGTAATTGAAAATACAGTTTTAATTTTAGTATATTTTTTTAGACTTTAAAGCAAAAACACTATTAACAATGATTAATCATCAAACGTATAAGGAATGTTGAAATGTTTGCCATTTGTCTTAATTTTCCATTTGAATAGATGCATTTTAAAGTTGATATATATATAAAGTTCCATTTTTTCCATATACAGTTTGGAACATTTCATGTAATGCTGAATGTCTGAAAAAATATTTTGATGTATTTACATTGTATATTGAAAACTGTTGTGACCTTACAACAAAATACAAAACACCGAATTGAAATTGATTTTCATTGTTATGTTAAAAATACATCTTTGCTGTTTTGATAGAAAACTGTTAACATTTTGGATTCACTTTAAATTTGGACATGGTACATGTACTTATTTGGAGAAGAGCTGCCAAATCATGAAATGGCCCTCATTGTCATGAGATACATATATGCATGTACATTGTATTTGTTAAATACAAATGATATGTTTTATAAATAATATAATATTTTGGTTATTCCAAATTTGTCTTGACCATGTACATGTTGTTCCATGCACTTCTACCAGATATGCCAGATATCATTTTGCCCTACTGTACCAGTAAGGGTTAAAATGAAAACATGTGTTGTTTTTTTGTGTGTATATATAGTCTTTTTAACAGAGCCTTCTTTACATACAAATATAAATGAAGAACTCTTTAAATGGTGAGAAAACTTAAGCAATATGCAATACTAAGTATAATTTGTGGTAAATAGTTTTGAAGTTAAATGTTGTTTGTTCTTTACTTTTAGGTTTATTCCTCAACACCACTGGTGACATATCAGACAAATATTACACACAAATTACACCAGCTGGATGGACATTCAGTATCTGGGGAATAATCTACACATGGCAGGGTATCTTCATCGTATATGTATTGACAACCATTTGTAGAAAGGTCCGTAACCACTATATTTACCAGCTGTCGGTACTTCCAGTTGCTGTATATGCCATTTATATCGTCAACAACTTGGCCAACATTGCTTGGATCGTGATATGGGATAGACAATATATGATTGCAGGACTCTGTGTCATTGTCATCACACCATTTACATTATATGTGTGTTTGTTTCTTTCGTTTCGACAGCTCTACAGAAACTTGGCTTTCCTGTCTAAAAATGATGCTGCCAAAGAAATATGGTTTATCCGATTTTTTGTCCAGAATAGTTTTGCTTTTTATGCAGCCTGGGTAACAGTGGCATCACTTCTAAATTTTGTTATTGTTCTTGTTTATGAAGCTGATGTAGAGCAGGAATTGGCTTGTACCATTGCACTTGGAATCCTGTCTTTTGAAATTGTTCTGTGGTTTATTCTGGATAATTTTGTTCTAGACAAATATGTACGTTACACATTCAGTCCATACGTAACCTTTTTTGTTGCCTTAATTGGATCTTTCGTCAAAAACTATGATTTAGATGCAAGATATAGAATTTCTATCTTCTTGCTTGTCCTGATGTGTTCTGCAGGAGTTCTCCTTATTGTCAAGATTATCAGCATAATTATTCGCTACATTAAATATCCCATCAGGTCAAACTTAGAGTATGAAGCTACTTTCTAAAAGAAAATGGGTGACAGAAATGAATCCTTACCAACCAGAGTTGCATTTTTGATAGCATAGCATGATTTAGGATAAAATATTAATCGCTTTTGTATAAGGTGCAAATGTTGTACATATATATGTAATTTTGTAAAATTATTTTATAATGCCATGAATGTACAATATTTGTATTCTGGATTATACATCAACTCATACACAAATTTTGTTTTACCTATTCAGTTTAAAGTTTTCTGGAAATTTGCTTAATATCTTCTCTAGTTAACAAATTAAGAGAAGATTAAAAAAAATAATTGCTTAGAAAATTCTTTAATATTTATCAACTATTATCATGATTATCCGTAATTGTAGAGAAATTTAAATTTTGTGATCAGATGGAAATTCTATAATTTGTATCCTACAGTACATGAACATTGCACTTGCATGTACAAATGTATGGACATGTATGTAAATAACTTTTCATCACATTCCTAAGGTTATCAGACATTTAACCTGGAAGTATTTACTCTGAATTTTATGATTTGGAAAATAAACAACCTTTCCTAAATACATGCAATAAAACAAAGAATAAACAAAGTAAAATATATTTTTTTCAGAATCTATATATCCATACATTTTTATACGACCGCTAAAAATTCTGGGTCGTATATTAAAATATGACGTTGGCGTCGTCGTTGTCCGAAGAGACATTGGTTTTAATAACTTTAGTTTAAGCTGGTTCAATACCACAAAAGGAAGGTTGGGATTGATTTTGGGGGTTATGGTACCAACAGTTAAGGAATTGGGGGCCAAAAATATTTTTTTTTTTTTTGTGGGGGTAGGGGGGTCAATTAGCAATAGCAAAGTGTATTGCACAAAAGCAAAGAATTGAATATAAATTCAAATCATATAACCAATTCTTAGTTCTTTGACTACAGTGATTCTTGTCAGAAACCTTTTATGTGTCAAATATTTAATTACAATCCAAATTCAGACCTGTATCAAGCGCGAATATTGCTTCCATTTTTGCCCCAACTGTTCAGGGTTGGACCTCTGCGGTCGTATCCGGCTGCACTCAGTGAAGCAATTTATTATTTTCTATGATACATTCATTACTGAACATGCTGAAGGGAAGTTATTTTTATCTTTGCTAGATGTATTTAAAGCTGCAAAATAAACATGATCTATTCTTTTTGTTGTTGTATGAGATTCTCTACCTTTATAGCTTATTTTTATGAAGTATCTTGAAAGAGAAAAGTAATAGCATAAAAAGTATCAGTGAATTACCGTTGTTGATTATCCTGGAACTATTGTAACCAACTATTATAGTTAAAATTTCCACCAGTATACTTATACAGTTATACAATATATACATTATATACAAACATTATTTACATGCCAATATGATCTGAATAATTAGTTTCTCTCTTTATTGTGAAAAACATTTTTGAAAGTTTTATTGAATTTTTATGTGTTTGTATAGTACATGTACCTTTATATCTAGAAACAGTCATGACAGTAAAAAAGAATACTCTTAATGAAAGACTTATGTTTATTTTTGTTTATGGAATTTATTCAATATTAACTTTGGTGCTGAAAGTATACTTTTGGTGCTTATTTTACAACAATAATATTTATTGTTTGTCTAATATGTACATAGTTAATTTTTTAAAGTACAGTATACAAAAGATGACTCGTGTAAAAATCCCTTTTGCTGGTTTTGAGATATGTCACTGTAAAATAAGAGGATAAAGGTAGTGGTGTTTATATACCTATGAGAATAAATTATATCAATATAAAGTGATAACATTCTGATTTATAACTTCCTTGATATGGAATATACAAAAAACTGTGTTCTAGTAGGCACAAACTAGAGGTGTGCAGCTCCCATCTGCCCGTTCTGTGATTTCCTCAACCCTAATAGTCTTTTCCTATGCATTTTTTTTCTGAAGGAAAATAAATACTTTTCAATTGAAAAAAAAAATCATTTCGACAGCTGGTAAAGACTTCATAAATCAAGCAAAATTACATTAATGAATTAAATTATTTCAGTTTATATCTATAAACTTGATCAAGTTTTCCTTTAACCGACAAGTGTCCATGTGAAAACTATGCCCCTCTGCCCTTAGGACCTAGCTAGAACACTAGAGAAGATATTTATCAGGACATTTAACCCATTATTCCTATCTTACTTTATATCTCTGTAAGAAATTAATATATAGAGTAATTTTTGAATGCACCATCCTATGTGTACTGTATTTAGTCAACTTTTGCTTGAAATGAACTGTAACTGTTTGCTATAATTGATATTACCATTTTATATGTGATACATGTACTGTCTTTGTTTTTGTTAAATCCAACATTACATGTATGTGGGCATTATATACACAACTAGAACCTTTTGATACTATTGTATTTCAAAAAGATATTAAAGTCAGACCAGTGGCTATGAATCTCAATAGACGTTTTTTGTAAGGTCGATTCTGATGGGACAAAATGTTACCTGCCAATTATATTTTTTATACAACTAAAGATGAATAGTGTAAACCAACTAATTTTTGTGAGCGATTTATTTCCACAAGCATAAAAATTAAAATAAATATAAATCATCATGAATAAGCAAACTTTAGATATTCTCTTTTGTAAGAAGATCAAGAAAATTAGAATATCATGAGAAAAAAAATCTCAGTGAAGTTGGCTAGGAACGGCTGAACACAAAATAAAGTATCTTCAAAAATTTGTTGGTTTACAGTAATATGTTTATTTATGACTGGGCATTTTTTACATGATAAAATAGCCTTATACATGTTATATGTACATAAAGTTTTATATGATTTACATGAATATTCAGATAATAAACTTCTACAAAGTTTTCATGTTTGATTGAATTTTTGAAGATTCTTAAATAAGAACAGAAACATGGTGTGGGATTTACTTTTTTTAGAATTTTGTCGTAGCGGGCTGTATATATTTTTTTTCCATCCCTTACATTGCAGGTCAAACCAATAGAACTCTTAGAATGGTATTTGTTGTTTCTACACTAAGCAGGAGATGAATACATTTAGAGCAAAGACTTGTCTACTCATATTCAAAATAGAATAATGTGTCCAGATGTAGTGACATGACAACCTTTAATTTGTTAACTGACACTTAAAAATTTAGCTCAACATGTTTGTCTAGTACATACAAGAGAAAATGATCAGCAATATACTAGATTTACAAAAATGTCATTATAACTAAATCTATTAATTGACTAGCATAATTTTGATAAAACTTTTACGAGAAAATATTACACGTTTTAGCTCAGCTGGCCCCTTTTCATCACTTGGTGTCAGTCTTCCATAAACTTTAACAAAAATCTTATTGGAAGAAAAATGACCACAAGCATCCTTGTTTAAAAAAGTGTGTTCAAAAATCCTGCCTGAAAACTAACTTGGCGGCCTAGGCTAAGAATAAGTCAGCATGGCTTAAATAGTCAACTTCCTATAGGAGTTATTGTCTGTGAATGATAATTTTGACCCATTTTTATATGACCGCAAAATTTATATTGGTATGTTGGCGTCGTCGTCCGAAGACACAATGGTTTTCGCACTCTAACTTTAGTTTAAGTGAATGGATCTCTTTGAAATTTTACCATAAGGTTCAATACCACAAAAGGACGGTGGGGATTGATTTTGGGGGTTATGGTACCAACAGTTAAGGAAAAAGGGGCCAAAAATAAGCATTTTCTAGTTTCCAGACAATAACTGTGGAACGGTGTATGGATCTCTCTGAAATTATACTACAAGTTTCCATACCACAAAGGGATGGTTAGGATTTGCTTTGGGAGGGTTATGGCTCAAACCGTTTAGGAATTAGGGGGAAAAACAAGGTTGTCCTGGTTAATGGACAAATACTTTAGTACAAAACATAATTTAAAGCAGTGTAAGGGAGATAAAGCAAATACATCATTGAAATTATCTCCCTTACACTGTTTTTAAATTATGTATAAAGTAATGGTTAATGAACAATTAAGATAATTTAAAACAGTGTAAGGGAGGTACTCCAAATACAACGTTTTGGTTACTTCCCTTACACTGCTTTTAAATTATGTTTACAGAAATGCATATTTATAAAGGAAGACCAGTAAAAATATCTGCAATTGTTGCATCTTTTTTTTTTTACAAAAAAATCCATAGGAAAGATTTGACATCTTATACGACCGCAAAAAATTTTTTGTGGTCGTATATTGGTATGACGTTGGCGTTGTCGTCGTCGTCCAGCGCCGTCGTCGTCTTCCGAAAACGCATTTGTTTTCGCACTCTAACTTTAGTTTAAGTGAATGGATCTCTATGAAATTTTACCATAAGGTTCAATACCACAAAAGGAAGGTGGGGATTGATTTTGGGGGTTATGGTACCAACAGTTAAGGAATTAGGGGCCAAAAATAAGCATTTTCTAGATTCCAGACAATAACTGTGGAACGGTGTATGGATCTCTCTGAAATTATACTACAAGTTTCCATACCACAAAGGGATGGTTAGGATTTGCTTTGGGGGGTTATTGCTCAAACCGATTAAGAATTAGGGGCAAAAAAGGGGGAAAAACAAGGTTGTCCTCATTAATGGACAAATACTTTAGTACAAAACATAATTTAAAGCAGTGTAAGGGAGATAAATCAAATACATCATTGAAATTATCTCCCTTAGACTGCTTTTAAATTATGTATAAAGTAATGGTTAATGAACAATTAAGATAATTTAAAACAGTGTAAGGGAGGTAATCCAAATACAACGTTTTGGTTACTTCCCTTACACTGCTTTTAAATTATGTTTAAAGAAATGCATATTTATAGAGGAAGACCAGTATGGCACATTAGATTTGTAAAATCTTTGACCACATTTATTTATTTGTTATGCCGAATCTAACCGTGTATTTAGATTTTTAATTTTGGGTCCAGTTTTCAAATTGGTCTACATTAAGGTCCAAAGGGTCCAAAATTAATCTTTGTTTGATTTTAACAAAAATTGAATATATGGGGTTTTTTGATATGCTGAATCTAAACATGTATTTAGATTTTTGATTTTTGGCCCAGTTTTCAAGTTGGTCCAAATTGGGGTCCAAAATTAAACTTTGTTTGATTTCAACAAAAATTGAATATATGGGGTTTTTTGATATGCTGCATCTAACCATGTATTTAGATTTTTTATTTGTGGACCCCGCTATCAAATTGGTTCATATTGAGGTCAAAAGGGTCCAAAATTAAACTTTGTTTGATTTCATCAAAAATTGAATTATTGGGGTTCTTTGATATGCCAAATCTAACCGTGTTTTTAGATTTTTAATTTTGGGTCCCGTTTTTTTAATTGGTCTACATTAAGGTCCAAAGGGTCCAAAATTAAACTTAGTTTGATTTTAACAAAAATTGAATTTTTGGGGTTCTTTGATATGCTGAATCTAAACATGTGTTTAGATTTTTGATTATGGGCCCAGTTTTCAAGTTGGTCCAAGTTGGGGTCCAAAATTAAACTTTGTTTGATTTCAACAAAAATTGAATATATGGGGTTCTTTGATATGCTGAATCTAAACATGTATTTAGATTTTAGATTTTTGGCCCAGTTTTCAAGTTGGTCTTAATTGGGGTCCAAAATTAAACTTTGTTTGATTTCAACAAAAATTGAATATATGGGGTTCTTTGATATGCTGAATCTTACCATGCATTTAGATTTTTTATTTGTGGGCCCGCTATCAAATTGGTTCATATTGAGGTCAAAAGGGTCCAAAATTAAACTTTGTTTGATTTCATCAAAAATTGAATTATTGGGGTTCTTTGATATGCCAAATCTAACCGTGTTTTTAGATTTTTAATTTTGGGTCCCGTTTTTTTAATTGGTCTACATTAAGGTCCAAAGGGTCCAAAATTAAACTTAGTTTGATTTTAACAAAAATTGAATTCTTGGGGTACTTTGATATGCTGAATCTAAACGTGTTTAGATTTTTGATTATGGGACCAGTTTTCAAGTTTGTCCAAGTTGGGGTCCAAAATTAAACTTTGTTTGATTTCAACAAAAATTGAATATATGGGGTTCTTTGATATGCTGAATCTAGCCATGTATTTTGATTTTGGACATTGGACCATAATAGGTAAATTAAAAAAATTGAAGTTCTTAGACCACATTCTTTCTGTGTCAGAAACCTATGCTGATTCAAATATTTAATCACAATCCAAATTCAGAGCTGTATCAAGCTTGAATGTTGTGTCCATACTTGCTCCAACTGTTCAGGGTTCGACCTCTGCGGTCGTATCAAGCTGCACCCAGCGAAGCATTTTATTTAAATTGGTCTACATTAAGGTCCAAAGTGTCCAAAATTAAACTTAGTTTGATTTTAACAAAAATTGAATTCTTGGGGTACTTTGATATGCTGAATCTAAAAATGTGTTTAGATTTTTGATTATGGGCCCAGTTTTCAAGTTTGTCCAAGTTGGGGTCCAATATTAAACTTTGTTTGATTTCAACAAAAATTGAATATATGGGGTTCTTTGATATGCTGAATCTAACCATGTATTTTGATTTTGGACATTGGACCATAATAGGTTAATTAAAAAAAATCAAGTTCTTAGACCACATTCTTTCTGTGTCAGAAACCTATGCTGTGTCAAATATTTAATCACAATCCAAATTCAGAGCTGTATCAAGCTTGAATGTTGTGTCCATACTTGCCCCAACTGTTCAGGGTTCGACCTCTGCGGTCGTATCAAGCTGCGCCCAGCAAAGCATTTTATTGTGTATTTTATGCCCCATCTAGGGGCATTATGTTTTTGGGTCTGTGCATTCGTTCGTCCATCCGTTCGTCCGTCCGTCTGTCCCGCTTCAGATTAAAGTTTTTGGTCAAGGTAGTTTTTGATGAAGTCCAATCAACTTGAAACTTAGTACACATGTTCCCTATGATATGATCTTTCTTTTTTTAATGCCAAATTAGAGTTTTGACCCCAATTTCATGGTCTACTGAACATATAAAATGATTGTGCCAGTGGGCAGGTTAAAGTTTTACCGCTTCAGGTTAAAATTTTTGGTCAAAGTAGTTTTTGCTGAAGTTGAAGTGCAATCAACTTGAAACTTAGTACATATGTTCCCTATGATATAATCTTTCTAATTTTAATGCCAAATTAGAGTTTTTACCCCAATTTCATGGTCCACTGAACATACAAAATGATAGTGCGAGTGGGCAGGTTAAAGTTTTTGGTCAAGGTAGTTTTTAATGAAGTTGAAGTCCAAACAACTTGAAACTTAGTACACATGTTCCCTATGATATGATCTTTCTAATTTTTTATCCAAATTAGAGTTTTGACCAAATTTCACGGTCCACTGAACATACAAAATGATAGTGTAAGTTGGGCATCCGTGTACTATGGACACAATGCTTGTTTGGAAACTATAGTAGATGGAAACTGTGATATATAATTTATTTCAAACCAGAAGCAATACAGCTTATAGGTATATCATAAATACATGTATATCATAACAGAAAATTCTAAATACAATCGGAGGCAAGACTACATAGTATAAATCATTCAGAGGATTGTCATGAATATTTTATATCTGTGGCGTTTTTCAAATATTTTCCTAAATTAGACAATTCCGATACATTTTTTGTTGACAATAACTGAACTAATTTAAAAACAGATGCATTTGTATAATAATACCTTTGAATATACAATTTTCTTATATTGTCATATTTTGGACATTTTAAAATAAAATGAAACTCATCCTCGATATCACCATGGTTACATAAAATACATAATCTTTCATTTCTTGCTCTTTTTATGAATCTACCATATTCAATATTTAATTTGTGTGAACACAGTCTATACTTAGTTAAAAATCTAATACA